ACGTCTCACAGGCATATAGCAGGGTTGGGAGGACAATAGCTTTATAGACAAGCACCTTGGTATCCCTACGGATGTCCCGGTCCTCAAACACTCTCTGCTTCATTTGGAAAATGCTGCACTTGCAGAGCTCAGGCGGTGTTGTATTTCGGCGTCAATGTTGACTTTGGTGGAGAGGTGGCTGCCAAGGTAGCGGAAATGGTCCACATTTTCTAATGTTAAGCTGTATTACTGGCATTGGAGAGGGATTGGCTGGTGACTGCTGGAACAGCACCTTGGTTTTCTCAATGTTCAGTGACAGGCCGAGCTTCTCGTATGCTTCTGCGAAGGTGTTTAGAGTGGCTTGTAGATCTTCTTCTGAATGCGCACAGACGACATTGTCATCAGCATACTGGAGTTCTATAACAGATGTTGTTGTAACTTTGGTTTTGGCTTTCAGTCTGCTGAGGTTGAATAGCTTGCCATCTGTCCGATAGATGATTTCCACTCCGGTGGGAAGCTTCCCATCAACAAGATGAAGTATCATAGTGATGAAGATGGAAAATAAGGTTGGGGCAATAACACATCCCTGTTTGACACCTGATTCCACCTTAAATGGGTCACTTTGGGAGCCATTGCTGTCCAAGACTGTTGCCATCATGTCATCATGGAGGAGCCGCAGGATGTTCACAAATTTGTTAGGGCACCCGATTTTGTGGAGGATGGTCCAGAGAGCGCTGCGATTCACTGTGTCGAATGCCTTTGCAAGGTCGATGAATGCCATGTACAGAGGTTGATTTTGTTCCCTGCATTTTTCTTGGAGCTGTCGTGCAGTGAAGATCATGTCCACTGTTCCTCTGGAGGGGTGGAAGCCATTCTGGGATTCTGGGAGGGTGTCTTCTGAGAGGGCAGAAGGCGGTTTGCAAGGATTCTTGCGAGGATTTTCCCAGTGGAGGTTAGAAGGGAGATACCTCGATAGTTTCCGCAGTCTGTTCTTTCCCCTTTTTTGAAGAGGGTGATGATGGTGGCGTCCTTGAAATCTGCTGGGATTTTCTCGGTCACCCACACTTTTTCTATGAGCTGGTGGAGTGGTGTGTCAGCTCAGGTCCTCCCTCTTTAAAGATTTCAGCAGGGATCCCATCTGGTCCACTGGCTTTGTTATTCTTCTGTTGGCTGATGGCATTGCTGACTTCTTCCAAACTAGGGCAGTGCTGCAAGCTCATCCCTGGTTTGTTGTTGTGGGATTTGTGAGAGGACCTCTTCGGCCACATTGGAGCTGCGGTTCAGGAGGCTTTGGTAGTGTTCTTTCCAACGTAGTGCAATTGAGTTTTGGTCCTTCAGGAGTTTGGTTCCATCTGATAAGCGTAGAGGCTGTATGCCATGGTTTCTTGGTCCATAGATGACCTTTGTGGCTTTGAAGAATCCCTGAGCATTATGGGTATCTGCCAGGTGTTGGATTTCTTCGGCCTTCTTTGCCCACCAGATGTTCTTGAGTTCTCTTGTCCTTCTTTGGACCTCAGCTTTTGCACTGGCATAGATCTTTTTCTTAGCAGCACAGTTGGTGTCTCTCTGCCATGCTTGGAAGGCTTTCCTTTTCTTGTCAATTAGCTGTTGGATCTCGATGTCATTTTCATCAAACCAGTCTTGATGTTTCTTGGCTTGGTATCCAATAGTTTCTTCGCAGGCTTGGATGATGGAGGTCTTCAGTTTGTTCCAATGTTCCTCGACACTTTCTGGGTGTACTGTGGGTAGATGGTCCTTGAGTGCTGTTTGGAGATGGGCTCGTCTGGAGGGCTCCTGAAGGGCTTGGGTGTTCATTTTGCGCCTTGTCTATAATCTTCTTCCCTGAATCTACAATTTGGTGATGGATCTGGGCATTGTATGTTTTTACCCTGTTTCCCCTTCTGCTCCCTCACCCATATTGTGTTTTTAGTAGTTATATTTATATTTTTAATGTACCAAACATGCCAGGTTTGTATGAAAATGTGACTTCAATTTCCTGTGCTGGTCAATGACCGAAATAAATGATTTGATACCTCAATTTCAGTTTTAAAATAGATATGTGAAAAATGAAAAATCTGAGTTAGAACTTGGAAAACTTAAGTTTTTATACCACATCTCCTAGAATCTTCCAAACAACATGGCCACTACTTATATTAGCTTTTGGGATTATAGTACAAAGAGTAGCTTTGCCAAGCTCTAAGGCTGGTTAGAATGCTTATTTTTAATACAAATATATAGAATATTTGGAACAAAAGCAACATAACAGACAAGGATCACAAATTCAAATTGCTGCTGGTGTTCCTATGATTTTTCACCTAGTTAAAGACATAACTTAGAATGAATGGATGATGTCACTGTTCTAGCAAATTTTCAAAAACACAGTAAATTGCCCAGCAAGCACTGAAGTTTAAAATACAGTTTAGTGAGTTAGGTCATTAGAATTCGTTAGAGTGGATGCCTCTTCTTCCAGTGAAACAGTAAGGTATGTTGCTTTCTTGGGAAAAAAATATTAACATTAAAGGAAATGTTTTCTATGATTTCAGTTGTTAAACCAGCCTTGACAAGTAGTAGAATTGAGTAGCTGAAAGGGAGTTTAGGAAAGAATGGAAAAGAAGAAGAAACATGAGTCTTGGGATGGAATGAGGGTTGGATGAGGAATTATTTGTTTTCATAAAAGGAAACCAAGATTTTCAAGCAGCAAAGGCAAAACACAAAGCATTGTGACTCTCTCATAATTATATTCTGGAGTAGTTCTATTATATATTATCATTAAATATATAATCTCGAATAATATTATTAAGATTTGGAGTGAGCTGCAATCAATCCATTTATAATTTTGCTCACACAGTGCTATGCATTTGGATAATGAAGTAAACATGTTTTCTCTTTTTTCCCCTCTCTTTTTCTTCTTCATTAGACTTTCCCTTCCTCTTTCTCTCCCTAACCCTGCTTTATTATCACCTTCCAATTCCTTTTACTCCTTTTTACCCACCATTTTAATCAATAAATGTAGGATGGATTCAAATAAGAGTAAGCATGTTAGATATTTAATCATCAAAATGGAGGATGCTACAGATTGCATTAGGAATCTCTAGATCCTGCATACAAAACATGTCCTCTACCAATGTGCTTTGGAAAGCTCGCTTTTGAAACATTTCTCATTAAGCATCTACTTCTAGATTCACTGACTGCTCTTTGTAGCTATCATTTATTGCTGTACATCTGATCTATCAGTGCCCTCTAACTGAAATCAATTACTCCTTGTGGGCTTCAGCAATGAATACATGAAAAGTGGTTTTTGGAAAATAACATACAGACATACTCAGCTCAACTACAACAAAGCTTCAACTTTTTTTTGTTACATCTGTGTAAACATTGGCTGCATGGCACCAGATTTCGAAATCCATGTCCTCCTTGCCTGCTAGAGAGCATAGGAAATCCAGCTCCCATCTAGGGCCTTTCCAGACAGGCCGCTGTCTCAAGAGCAGCCATGTTTTAAAAAATGTGGATGTTCCTGGGGGCCCATCTATACTCGCCCCAGAAAGCACATGCTTTCTGCGGTGGTTGTCCAGATGTTGTACTGGGACTTCCCAGTATTCCAGCATTCCTAATGGCCCGGTTGACTGGAATTGTCTGGGAGTTCCATTCCAATAAAATCACTTTCCCAAGTTCTGTGGACAATAACACATGAGTTTTAAAGGCCATTTTAAGTGTATTTATTGCATTTTAAATTTGTTTTTTTTAACCACACTGTTACTATTTAATTGTTTTTTTAAAATGTATTGCACTTTTTATACTTGTCTGGTGTGGGGTTGTTAGCCACCTTGAATTCCCATGGGGAGAAAGGCAGGGTATAAGTTTGTATGCAGGATCCAGGGATTCCTAATGCAATAATAATAGTAGTAATAGTAATAATAGTAATAATAAATAACGTAGTTTCCAGTTTGATGGTAGCATTTATTTTCTATTTCCTATCATGCATTAACGGGTCTGTCAACATTAACCTTTTAAGCAGTGAACAATTGACTTGCCTTGGATGAACCTGGCATGCAGTCCTTTCAATCTCTCTTTATTCAAATGGGAGTTTCACCATATTTAATAATTATAGTCATATTTGCCCTCTCTAGACTCCTTTAATTCTGTGCAATCATTTTAAAATTCTTCAAGCTAGTTAAAAGGCCATTAGGCTGGTGTCTGCAAGAAGAATCTACAAATGCACAGGATCCATGCACTCAGATAAGAGCAATTACGGCTTCTAATCAGATAGATCCATAGTGGTGAAATAGCCTCATCTAAGAGGCTGGTCCCTCGGCGCCTCCATACCCCACTCTTCTTCAATCATTTCTTTTTACAACTACAGTTCTCTGCCTTTCTGAAAAGCTGCCTGGAAATGGAAAATACCAGTTGATCTCTGTTCTGCACTTACAAATAAGCGCCTTTTGTTGACATTGCCATCTTTTTAGTTCCAGGCAAAGACATAGTTATTTTTTTAGGCATCTGAACATTAGTTATGGCCTGCTGGCTGTGCACTGCTTCTGTGCTGTTTATTTCAGGCTGGATTCTGGAGAGAGTGGGGGGGGGGAGTGTTTTCTGTAGTGTGGGTGGACGCTTTTAGTTTTGTATCATTTTGAGATTTTGTTTTTCTGGCCTGTATTTTTATTCATTGGTTTACTGTGGTTTACATTGATTGTACTCATTATCAAAATTGTTGTGCTGTTGCATGTTCTTTCTTAACAACTGTTTTCACCAGTGGGAAGCAATGCATAGATTTAATTAAAATATTAACAACAACAAAACAACAAAGACCAAGATATTGCTGTGCATTTCAGCCAAAAGAGTATTATTAAATAATATATCAGATTTGCATCAAAACATTATCATATGAAAAGCTTCGGTATAGATTTTAATCAAGTTCATTTATTTTCTTTACCACCTGAACTCAAGCTATTTTCCCAGGTTTCGATCAGTATCCTACTCCCACTGCTCATTTTCAGTTCTCAGTAGCTGTTGTTTCCACTAACCTCATCACATGGAGGTCCAGAAGCCAGGAAACAGTGGGGAAAACCTTGGGGCAATGCCTACCTTTGCCCCCTTACTGTTGTGGATCGTGGGAAGTCATCTTACTACATTTCCGTGCTGTCCTAGGTTTCCTTGCATGCTGTCCCCGGCTTCTACAATGAGGAGACAAGTAGTCAGTCACTCAACTCCTCAGGGTTCCCTCTTAGTGCACTGCCGGCATGCTACCAGCATGGAGTCTAATAGAGCCCCGCTGGAAGTAACCCTGTGTCATATGATGGGCTCCGGTGGTTTCAGTCCTGGCAATATGCCGGCAGTGCGCTAAGATGGGGAAAACCACCTGTCTGATGAAGTGGTATGTGCAAAATGTGGAGAGAAGTTAGGGACCCTTCCAAGGGATGTATTTATACTTTCATGCACCATAGTGTGTCCCTAACCATGTTGAAATCTCAGATGTATGCATGGCTAGAACCATTTTGCCTACATTAAGGACTGTCTCTTGGTGATCTGTGGCCAGCGGTGACCAAAACATAATTGCTGCCAATGTCAAATGACAAGATGGTACCCTAACCACTAAGCATGTGTACATACCAACTGCTCAGTCCACTGAATCTTAGTTCAGTGGTGACAACACAAAAGTCTTCACTACTACAGCTAAAACAGAAAGCTAGCTTAGGGGTCGCAAGCTGGATTGAATGGCAAATACTGATATTTATTCACAGAAACATTTGCCTCATGACTGCGCTGAAGGTAGAGGAGGATCAAATATCCTTGTGAGAAATCCTATGAATACTTTTAAACCCATGCTTAAGCCAGTGCCAGGACATCTCACCAGACTTAAAAGAATGAAGTACAAGATAGAGATTTCTCAAACATGATGCACAGCTTATAAAAGCTATTTTTGGACTAAAGTGGCCATGGTGGCAGGGGGGATGCTGGGGGTTCCAAAAAAGAAAGTTTTTCCAGGTCTAACATGGTACAGGAAACCAAATGTATCCAGCTATGCAGCACTATGATAAACCATAAATTGTTCTCTAGATATGTTCCATATTATTAAATTTTGTGGAGTTTTATGTGCTTTGTTTCCTATCTGAGCCTTCAAAATTTAGTAAGGAAAAAGCATCTAAATGGTACGAATCATAATGCACATTTTCACTTCACTTATTTCATTGCATGAAAATGAATGATCTAATTAAAGAGTCTTCTCCCACACTATTTTAAACCAAGAGAAAATGCCATAGAAAATAAATGACTCATGGATATCTCCCCAGTAAATAATTTCATCATAATTTCCCTATTCCTGAATAGAAATTTGATTATCAGTGGGGGAATCAGGAAATGCCACTGGTATTTACTGCAAACATTTTGTAAATCTCATTTTAATGTAATTTTAATCCTATACTTAAGTTGAAAGCATACAAAAGTACTTGATATATCTCCTTTAGTGCATCTGAAATTCATACCACTGATAAATTTAGGCTTCAGGTCTGCAGACTCTGAGGTCTTACACCAGATCATTTAAGGTTAGTTTTTAATTGCGCTTTGCAAGTGTGAAGAGAAATATCTAATTATACAGTAGAAAGATTTAGAGTAAGTATGTATCTACACTGTCGAATTAAAGCAGTTTGATACCATTTTAACTGTAATGGCTCAAGTATGGAAACTTGGGATTTGTAGTTTGATCAAGCTCCAGCACTCTGACAGAGAAGGCAAGAGATCTTGGAAAACTACAACTTCCATGATACCATAGCACTGAGTCGTGGCAATTAAAGGGTTGCACTACACAGACAATAAAGCTGAATTAGGCAGTGGATTAAAAGGAACTGGTTCCACAGCAGAATGCCTATAAAATTACCACTCGAACCAATTCAAGGCTGCAACAGTGGCCACAGTATCCACTGACTACAGATCAGAACTAAACCCAGGAATGTTTTTTTTCCTTACCCTGTCCACTGAGATGCGCTGATGTTCATCACCATGTCCATTCAGGAGCAGCACTGGACCATAACAGAACATATGAAATAAGAATAAAGAGGTGAAAAATGAGATTCCCCATGAAAATGATGTGATTACACTCTTAGGGGAATACTTTTCAACTTCCAGCTAGCAGTATTTTGGTGGGGTTTTTTTAAAAAAAAAGCATGTCAGTGCTACCATTGTCCTGATAAGTGCTATGCATTTTCCCATCTTGGTTTCAAGACCTGCATGTGATCACCTGCAGTGCATTCTCTGGATTATTCTGAACTTTCTGGTACTGTTTTGGGCTCAATTCACACTACAGTGTCAATTTGTTGTATTTGTTTTGTGGACACCCCACCATTGAGCCGGCTTTTAACTGGATTATAGTGTCTTTGTAGAATCACCCAAAAGGAATTTTCAAACTGCATTTTGCAGTGTGGACGCATCCTAAGATTTCCCTTCCAGGCCCTTTACAACCCTTACCTGGTATGACATCTTTGTCCAATAGTCATCCCATGTATCTGACCAACCACCACAGCATAAGAAGTTCTACCCCAGCTTTAGAACTCAATAAATTACTTCTTTTCCATTGGAGAAATTGGAAAAAAGGAATGAAAGGGGAAAGGAGTACATATTTTTAAACCCTTCTGGACAAGTGCAAAGAAGCCAGAATGGATGTCCAAAGAACTTCTAACTGTGCTGAGACACAAAAGAGACATGCACAAGAAGTGGAAAAAGGGAGAAATCACCAAAGAAGAATTCAAACAAATAGCCAACACCTGTAGGGAAAAGGTCCGCAAGGCTAAAGCACAAAACGAGCTCAGGCTTGCCAGAGACATTAAAAACAATAAAAAGGGATTCTTTTCTTATGTCAGTAGAAAAAGGAAAAACAAGGAGGCGATAGGGCCTCTTTGAGGAGATGGGGCAATGCTGACAGGGGATAGGGAAAAGGCAGAACTACTTAATACCTTCTTTGCCTCTTAATACCTTCTTTGCCTCTTCTCACAAAAAGAAAGTCATCTTCAACCTCAGCAAGACGGAGTGGATGAGGGATTTGAGGACATCCAACTCCAAATTGGGAAACAAGTCGTACAGGAATACCTGGCCGCTCTAAATGAGTTCAAGTCCCCAGGGCCAGATCAACTACACCCAAGAGTATTGAAGGAACTAGTGGAAGTCATTTCGGAACCATTGGCAACCATCTTTGAGAGTTCTTGGAAAACAGGAGAAGTTCCAGCAGATTGGAGGAGGGCCAATGTGGTCCCAATCTTCAAGAAGGGAAAAAAGGATGACCCAAACAACTACCGTCCGGTCAGCCTCACGTCAATACCAGGCAAGATTCTGGAAAAGATTGTTAAGGAAGTGGTCTGAAAACACTTAGAAACAAATGCGGTCATCGCTAATAGTCAACATGGATTTATCAAAAACAAGTCATGCCAGACTAATCTGATCTCTTTTTTCGATAGAGTTACAAGCTGGGTAGATGCGGGGAATGCCGTGGATGTAGCTTACCTGGATTTCAGTAAGGCCTTCGACAAGGTCCCCCATGACCTTCTGGCAAGGAAACTAGTCCAATGTGGGCTAGGCAAAACTACGGTGAGGTGGATCTGTAATTGGTTAAATGGACGAACCCAGAGGGTGCTCACCAATGCTTCCTCTTCATCTTGGAAAGAAGTGACAAGTGGAGTGCCGCAGGGTTCTGTCCTGGGCCCAGTCCTGTTCAACATCTTTATTAACGACTTAGATGAAGGGCTAGAAGGCATGATCATCAAGTTTGCAGACGACACCAAATTGGGAGGGATAGCCAATACTCCAGAGGACAGGAGCAGGATTCAAAATGATCTTGACAGATTAGAGAGATGGGCCAAAACTAACAAAATGAAGTTCAACAGTGACAAATGCAAGATACTCCACTTTGGCAGGAAAAACGAAATGCAAAGATACAGAATGGGGGATGCCTGGCTCGAGAGCAGTACGTGTGGAAAAGATCTTGGAGTCCTCGTGGACAACAAGTTAAACATGAGCCAACAATGTGATGTGGCGGCAAAAAAAGCCAATGGGATTTTGGCCTGCATCAATAGGAGCATAGTGTCTAGATCTAGGGAATGCTACCCCTCTATTCTGCTTTGGTTAGACCACATCTGGAATATTGTGTCCAATTCTGGGCACCACAATTCAAGAGAGATATTAACAAGCTGGAATGTGTCCAGAGGAGGGCGACTCAAATGATCAAGGGTCTGGAGAACAAGCCCTATGAGGAGCGGCTTAAGGAGCTGGGCATGTTTAGCCTGAAGAAGAGAAGGCTGAGAGGAGATATGATAGCCATGTATAAATATGTGAGAGGAAGCCACAGGGAGGAGGAAGCAAGCTTGTTTTCTGCTTCTCTGGAGACTAGGACGCGGAACAATGGCTTCAAACTACAAGAGAGGAGATTCCATCTGAACATGAGGAAGAACTTCCTGTGAGAGCCCTGTAAAGATCCCTTACCTTGCCAGCCTGGATGGCAGGGCCTAGGAGAAGCAGGCCAGTTAGTTGCAGCTTTAGAAGGCCTGGCAGAGGGCAGCAGGAGCCATTTTAGTTCAGGGAAAACACCATTTTAGAGAGGGGGAGTGTCCTAGGCCTGAGTTAGCATTAGAACAGCCAGGATTGGTTTATTAAAGGGGGGCGGAGTTTAGCAAGGTTTGGAGGGAAAGAAGAGGGTTTTTTCAGTCAGTCTGTTGTTGTTGGAGATTAGAGTAGGAAGGTAGTTTAGAAGTTCGTGTTTTAAGATTAGTTTAGGGAAGGCAGTTTGCCTTAGGTTTGCCAGCGAATAGAAGCTGTAGCAAACTGGAAGAGCTATTTAGGGAGATAGCTGGTTTTGTAGTTAGCTAGGCCACAGTTTAGGGTAGCTAAGCTACAGTTGTATCTTGACAGAGATTCAGCTCCTGTCAAGTATACTTGGTTTTAAAGAGAAGAAAATCTCTGAATCTTGTAACAAAGAAAGAACCATTCACATGTAACCATTACGCTTGCAAGACATAAGCCAAAACCTCTATGTAACAGCCAAGATTTTTCAAGCAGCACTTACTTTCTTGTATATTTCTATCAATAAACTTTCCTTGATTATTTTGAAACTTAAAAAGCCTGAGTCCAGTGTGCCATACCGTCGACCACGGTATCCTTCTGGGACGCCTCGCAGGGATGGGTCTTGGAGGTACTGTTTTGCAGTGGCTCCGGTCATTCCTGGAGGGTCGATCTCAGAAGGTGTTGTTGGGGGACACCTGTTCAACCCCACAACCATTGTCTTGTGGGGTTCCTCAGGGCTCAATATTGTCTCCCATGTTGTTTAACATCTACATGAAGCCGCTGGGGGAGATCATCCGGAGTTTCGGGGTACGGTGTCATCTGTACGCGGATGATGTCCAACTCTGTCACTCCTTTCCACCTGCTACTAAGGAGGCTGTCCAGGTCCTGAACCGGTGCTTGGCCGCTGTGACGGTCTGGATGAGGGCGAACAAATTGAAATTGAATCCAGACAAGACAGAGGTACTCCTGGTGAGTCGCAAGGCCGAACAGGGCATAGGGTTACAGCCTGTGTTGGATGGGGCGCACTCCCCCTGAAGATGCAGGTTCGCAGCTTGGGTGTGACCCTGGACTCATCGCTGAGCCTGGAACCCCAGGTTTCGGCGGTGACCAGGGGAGCATTTGCACAGCTAAAGCTTGTGCGCCAGCTGCGCCCGTACCTTGGGAAGTCTGACTTGGCCACGGTAGTCCACGCTCTGGTTACATCCCGTTTAGACTACTGCAACGCTCTCTACGTGGGGTTGCCTTTGAAGACAGCTCGGAAGCTCCAACTAGTCCAACGCTCGGCAGCCATGATTTTAACAGGAGCGGAGCGCAGGGAGCATACAACCCCCCTGTTGCCCCAACTCCACTGGCTACCGATCTGCTACCGGGCTGAATTCAAAGTGCTGGCGTTGGCCTTTAAAGCCCTAAACGGTTCCGGCCCAAGCTACCTATCTGACCGCATCTCGGCCTATGAACCCACCAGGACTTTGAGATCTTCCGGGGAGACCCTGCTCTCGATCCCGCCTGCTTCTCAAGCTCGGCTGGCGGGGACGAGAGATAGGGCCTTCTCGGTGGTGGCTCCTCGGCTGTGGAACGCCCTTCCTACGGACATTAGACTAGCACCATCCCTAATGGTATTCCGCAAAAATGTGAAGACCTGGATGTTTGTGCAGGCGTTTGAGTAATTTAGTGCAATCTGGTAATGGAACATAGGAATGGAACAATGGACGACGAACCTGGACTACGCTTGGATGATGAGAAGATTGGGTACGGTTGTTTTTTGTAATAATTGTGCATTGTAATTGCTTATTGGTAATTTATGGATAATGTGTTAAGTCAATTGTTATATGTTGTATGGAACCACTGCTGTTTCTACTGTTTGTGAACCGCTGTGAGTCGCCTTCGGGCTTGAGATACAGCGGTATATAAGCAAAGTAAATAAATAAATAGTTCTTTTCAAACAACCTCACCGGTTTCCCTTTAAAGAAGAAAATAAGAAGATACAGTGCTTGGTGATCTTAAAAAGCCTTTTTAATATTTTAAACAGCTAGGGTGTTCCTGTACATTTACTTTGGTGGCAGCGGAAGTTAATTAGTGAGACATCCCCTCAATCGTTATATAGGTGCCAGTGAATTCTTTATATTGGAGGGACAGTTGGTGGGATTTGTTTACCCCCTGTCCAGAGATATCGTTTTGCCATATACGTGCCTTTATACCGTTCAGCAGTGGAACTCTCTGCCCCGGAGTGTGGTGGAGGCTCCTTCTTTGGAGTTTTTAAACAGAGGGTGGAATGGCCATCTGTCAGGGGTGATTTGAATGCAATAGTCCTGCTTCTTGGCAAGGGGTTGGACTGGATGGCCCATGAGGTCTCTTCCAACTCTTTGATTTTATGATTCTATGATTCTATGATTCTGAGCTCTCAACCAAAACTGAACAGTGCCTTGCATTTTCTAAAGGCCATGACTTGGAAATTCTACGATCCATGAAAAAT